TGTTTTTCGTCAAAACATTTTCAAAGCACTTTTGAATTGATTGTTCAAATAATTAACTTTCTTTCTTCTACTCCTCTGTTTATGTCATCTCATTGTCTGTCATACCTGCTCCCTGTTTGGCGACGATATCATAGGCCGCGAGAGTACGTCTCTTGCGGTCTTCGGCCTCTTGTTGTCGGCCGCGGATCATGCGCTCCATGGCGTCGGGTTCGGCCGCTTTAGGAAAGGCCACTCCGCCCGGGAATCCTGGACTGAGTGGAGTTCCCGGCTGTGAAGAGGGGGCTATGTTTGGCGGAAATTCAATTTAATTGATTATTCTGTGGCACAGAATTATTTTGGGAGCATTTTTGGTGTTCATTTGATAGCGAATAACACAAGTGTTAGGCTATGAATAATGTATTTGGCGTTAGTAGTGTATGTCCTGTACTCTACCCACCCTTTGTCACTTTGGCCACACCACCAGAGCTACCAAATGTGGAGCAGTTCTCCGCTTTGACGGGAGTATAATCAGAGACTAATGCATAACAACATTAAACATCGAAACGGGAGGAGGAATGACATGACAGACAATGAGATGACATAAACAGAGGAGTAGAAGAAAGAAAGTTAATTATTTGAACAATCAATTCAAAAGTGCTTTGAAAATGTTTTGACGAAAAACATTGCAATTTTTAGACACAATTACGAGTGAATTACAACTTATAGGAGACATCCAATAAGTAACAGTATCTAAACAACTGGCGATTAAGTGAAAGTGATGTAAACATGACTTTTACCGTCAACTTTCTTAAATGCCTCGAAGTTGACCTCACGATTGGCCACTCCTGAGGGCGCGCCTCTGGCGGCGGCGTCGTATGCGGCCAACACTCGCTTCTTCCTGTCTTCGGCCGCTTTCTGTCGCGAACGCAACGCGTCTTCAACTAAATCACTGGCTTTGATGCCTGATATCGATCCGGTGGGCGTTCCCGGAGGCGTCGCTGTAAGAGGGGATTACAGTCAACGGATTAGTAAACCGATTATACAGATAATTGTGTCAATTATTTTCTGGTCGTTTACTCAATACAAGAACCTTCGCTACAAAAAAGCAAAATAACTAATTCCTCTCATAATAAATGTTATGTTTGACGTGAAAGTCAACTAAACATTAGTCTATAAACTAATAAAAATTAGATAAGAGTTGAGGCGAACCATCAAAGCTCTTATAGATGCCGATATCCATGCGTTTGTCTCCGCCGGCCGGAGCGGACTTTGCCATCGAGTCATACATAGCCATTGTTCTCAGTTTCTGTTCATTCGCTTCTTTCTGTTTCGCTTGAAGTCTATCTTCTCTAGAATTCGTCAATTTATTCAATTTCTCTTCCCTTCGCGCTATAGTTTGGGATATATTTGTTTGCAATTTATGGAAATCAATCAGATTTCTGACCTCAAGTCAACTCAAGTTTTGGTACAACTTTTTTTGTGCACATTTCTCGTTGTATTTCTCAACAAATTTTAATACAATTTGAAAGAATAAGATTTATTTTTAGCACAGAATCTATTGGAGCTATTATTAGGTTCTGTACTCCAAAATGTATTCAATTATAATTAATTAATGTAAAGGTTTTACAACTTATTTATACTTGAGGTCAGAATTGTTCAAATAAAAGAAACACAAATTTTTTGCTATCATTTAGTAATTTTTTGGATGACTTTTGATTATTATTATAATGAATGTGAAAATTAATTTTGAATTAAGAGTTCGCAAATAATATACTAATAATTAGTAAATGGAGTGATAAAAAGGGGGAAACATGTAAAATGAAAGGTCCCGTCAGGACTCCGATACCTTTCTCTACTGATCGCAACTCCTGAATGCGAGCTCTGATGGCCTTTCGGTCGTCGATATCCTCTGTTTGGTCTAACTATTGACACGAGAATCACAACAGAATCACTAATTCAGTCCATATTATTGTTTTTGCAGACAGTTTTTTGCGTTAATCAAATTCACAGCATTTGTTTTGCACACAATTCTTACCAGATTTTGCAAAACAGATTCGTCGGTGATTTCATCCAAATTGATCTCTTGTTCAATGTCTCCCATTTTGAACGTAAAGAATTGGTAATAACTTTGTTTGTCAGTCGATAATAAGAATATGTATTTTTCACCACAAAAATTGCTTTTGCTATTTGATGGAAGAGAATCACTGAACGAATGTCTCTACAAAATGCAGAATTTGTTTAAAAGAACTGAACGCCAAAAATGTTATAATAAGAAAAAAATATATCGCTTTTGACTGTTTGGGCTCCGGTTCTGCCCCACAGTTACGTAATCTGTATTAAGAATCGTTGGTTTTGTGGGTTGGGTTAGCGATCGCTATTTTGGGAGACATCCAACAACTCGTTGACGAGGTTTTATCAGAGAGTTTTTGCGCTCATGTAATGTCTGTTTGAAATAAAACTAAAGTCTAAGTCGTCTCTGAATATATATGGAAGTGTTGCTGAAGTGGTGTTCAAAACCATCGCTTTCTATAAATAAAAAACTAGAAAATGAGTCAACATTTAAGTTCGCGAAAGAGGCGAACGGCTAATGCTTTTCGCATTCCTTTACCACATCTGAACGAAAGGTAATTTATATCATAAATATATGTATATTTCTTCACAAATTTCACTTTTTCATCAATTCTATCAATTATTGTAATTAATTTTTAGTTAATTATGGTTAAATCCTATCGTAATTCTTATTATTGGTAATAATTATTTTTATTGTAGAATCGGTTTAAAAATACTTTTTATAATAAAAAGTTGTGTGATTTGTGTGTTGAATATATTTATAACTACTGTATAACTAAAAGTTAAACAATTTAAAAAGTTAATGAAAATAACTATTATGTTATTAATTAGATGTTTAAGTTACCATCTCATTAGTTAATAGTAGCAACACTTTTATAGTGCGATATTAAAATAGACTTTTCAAACAAAATCAATGAATTTGTATTTATAATGACATGCAATAAAATGTTGTTTATAGTCCCGTCAGTCGTCAAAACCATTTAAACATAACTTTTCAAACAAAAAACTCAATTTAGTTCACAAA